GTTAAAAAATAAATAAAGTGCATTTTTCATAGACAACATATAGTTGGACCTTGCTTTTTGATCAACTCTGATTTTCTCTATTAATTGAGGCATTTAGACCATTCATGTTCAAATTAATTACTAATATAGTTGGATTAATATCTACTGTGTTTGATACTGCTACTGTTTCTAACTGTTGCCCCCCGTTCTTTGTTCTTATTTTTGTCTTCCACTCTTTCTCTGCCTTTTTGTGGTTTTAATTGAGCATGTTATGCAATTCTCTTTTCTTTCTTTTCTTAGGATAGCAGTCATACTTCTTTTTTTGGTCTCTTAGTGGTTACCCTAGGATTTTTAATATATTTTTACAATTAATCCAAGGCACTTCTAAATAATTCTATAGTGCTTCACAGATATTGAGAACTTTATAACAGAATAATCCCAGTTCCCCTCTCCCAACCTTTGTGTCATTGCTATCTTTGATATCATTATCAAATAATAATAACAGTCACAACTACAGAAAGGCAACTCCAGTATTCTGGGACACCGACATGAGCACTTACAGTTGTTCTGATCATTATATTGCCAGGAAACTTCAGCAAGTGATAAATATTCTTACTAACTGCCTTCCTGAAAATATCTTATTTTTTCAGTGGAGAAAAAAATTTTCATATTTTTTACTACGTCTACGCTGGTTTAGCAGAAAAGAAGAAACTAGCCCATTACAAACTGCCAGAAAATAAGCCTCCCAGGTAACAAAGCAGGGTGGACTTTCATAAATACTGCTTCCACTTTCCACTTAATTTCAGATTTTCACCTATCCTTTCATATTTTTTTTCAGATACCTGCAAAATGACCATATCAGAACAGTACAGGACATGATGAATAATGGTTTCTATAAATCCCAATATGAGTTAATTGAGCAGTGTTTCAAGGTCATCGGTTTTACAATGGAGGTGAGTGTGAAAGACACGTGAACCTCCGCAGGAAGTGTCTTTTTGTCGTCACGAGTGGTAAGAGCATTTGTTGAGTGGTCACTATATGTCAGACGTGGCGCTGAGGGCATTACATGGATCTTTTTTCAAATTACTGAAATGGCCTTATGAAATAGCTAGAATTATAATATTTACCTTCTATATGAAGAAACTATGGCCTTAAGATAGAACTGAATGGTTTTGTTCGTAATCTTTTATTTTACTTGCATTTGCATCTCCCACAAATGTATGAAATTGTATTTAAATGGGTAACTGTAACCATGTCTCATGTTCTTTTTTGGTGCAATCTGTTTTTCTAACAACTTTATTAAGATATAATTCACATCCGTACAAGTCAGCTGTTAAAAAGTGTACACTTAATACAGTCATGAGGCTGTGCATCCACCCCCATAATCACTTTGGGAATATTTCCATGTCCTAAATTTTCCACCCCAAAAGGCGACATGCTGGTGATTAGCAGTCCTTCGTCATTCCCATCCCACCTCTTCTTCGTATCACTCTAGATCTGATTATTGTGGACATTCCACACTCATTTACTGATGCCATATGTCACCCTTTGTGACTGACTTCTTTAGCATAATATCTTCAAGGTTCATCTGTACGGTAGCAGATATCAGTACTTCATTCCTTTTTATTGAGGAATAATCCATTGTCTGGATTTACCTCATGTTATATTTATCCAGGCATCATCACTTGATGAGCATTTGGGTTGTTTCTGCTTTGGGGCTATTATAAACAATGTTGCTGCCATCATCCAAGTCCAAGTTTTGTGCAATGTGAGTTTTCACTCTTCTTTGGTGCTTACCTAGGAGTGGAAATGCCGGGTCGTGGAGTAACGCCTGAGGAACTCCTAGACTGTGCCCCAAAGTAGCTGCACTATTTTACATTCCAACCAGCAGGATATAAACGTTCCAGTTTCTCCCCATCTTCCTCAGCACTTATTATTATCTGTTCATAGCCTTTCTATCAAGTGTGAAGTGGTGTCTCATTGTGGTTTTGATTTGCATTTCCCTAAAGCCTTATGATGCTGTAACTTCTTTTCATGTACTGATTGGTCCTTTATCATTTATAAATCTTCGAAGAAATGTCTGTTCAGAGTCTTTGCCTATTTTTAATTAGGCTGTCTTTTTATTATTGAGTTGTAAGAATTCTTTGTATTATAGGCACAAGTTTCTTATCAGATACATGACTTGCAAAAATTGCCTCTCATTTGTTGTCTTTTTACTTTCTTGATGGCATCCTTTGAAGCACATTCTTTGTATTATTGATCTTGGCTTTTTTATATTTTTATCAAGTATTCATTTGGTTTCTTGTGCTATCCTTTTGCTTAAGGAGAAAACTTGGTACCTCTATTTCTTTATTTAACAATGGAAACATTTAAGGCTACAAATTTATCCCTGAGTAATAAAGATTTCTTTCTGTGTCATAGGTTGTATTTTTTAATTTTTACAACAAAGTATCTTGTTTAATAGGGGCTCCTGAAGGCTTTTAGAGAAGCTTTCAGGCTCTGCTCTTAGCAGTTTACTGTTTGCTGTGTTATTTAAGTCCTGCAGTAAAAAGAGCACTTCACTCTGAATGTGAATCAGGCTTTTAGATGAGCTCTTTCAGGAAAGTAATGTGCAATTGGTTGGATTTCAATTTCATTTCATAAATGACACTCCTGCAACTTGAAACAGTTAATATGTCTGCTTTAGCAGTATACTGAAATTTCTTGGATTATCAAATCTCTGCTAAGAGCTTGAGCTAAAAATAATACCTAATTCTTCTCCAAAAATTTGGAAAATTTGATCAGGAGGATGTGAAATGTAGAGATGCTGATAGAAGTGAAATGTTACAAGAATCATTCAAATTGCGTGCAGTGAGGTTATTGAGTTTAATCATTCTGTAGCATGTTTTTAAGGCACTGTGAACTCCCTTCTAAAATGGAAGGCTGTCTGCAATAACTGTTAGTCCACTGATGCATCTGCTTGCTAGAGAATAGTATTTCTAAAGCTGTGTTTGTTCTCAGCATAGAGAAAAGTTTGCTACTAGTGTGTTTTCTCCAAATAATGGAGCTTCTGCTGTTGACAGCTTCCACAACAGATGGTCCCCCAGTCTTGACTTTCCTTTGAAAGCCTTTGGTTCCATCCACCTTGGGTCTCCTCACTCAGGGCTGAGAGGAGGACTTCCTCAAGACCTTGACTTTAGGGAGTGAGGTGTGATCTCTGCCAGCTGGGTGAGGTTGGAGAAGAAGGATAGATAAACAGCTTTCTTTTGTCTTGAAATTAGGGCCTTACCTTCAGGAGTGGTTTTGGTAAACCACGGTGATCTTTGTCCATCGGGACACATTTCAACTTTCAGAGCTTTTTCTGATGTGTCCTTTCTCCATAGCCAAGAGGAATTCACATTTGATGGGAAGACTCCCTACCTGGCTGCCTTTACAGCCCCAGAATTTAGAGTCCTCCTTTAATTCTGAATTCTGAATGCCACTCTGTTTCTAGACAAGTGGATTGGTCATGGGGAGAGGTGGGTGAGAGCTGCAGGAGCCCAGGGGAACTGGCAGGCTGTTTTCAGGGCCAAGGGAGGAGAAATAACTCCTCTTGGGACAAGAGAAGAATATTACCACAACTTTCCCAGAGCTCTCAGTTTTTTGCCAGAAGACTGAGAATTATGTGGACAAGAGGGAAGTGATACTGTGGACTCATGGGCAAGCCAGCATTGAATGCAGCCTTAGGCACATACTTTACTCACGGGAAGTCTTGAGCTGAAGTTGAAACACCTTTTGGTTTAGCAGCAGAAGCTCCAGCTCAACCATCTTTATTTCTGAATGATGCGTTCTTTCCATGGATTCATAGAGGCTGCCTGGAACTTTGGCTAAACTGCAGCTCAAATCAGGAAGCTCAGGGGTTCTGTAGAGGTCTCTAGGCAGAAAGATGATTTGGGACCTTCTCTCTGTTGATGCGTTAAATAGTTTTTAGTCTATAAAATGGAACAAAGAATCCATTGTTCGATATGATTTCTGAAGGGTTTTTAGGAAAGCTTGCACTCTTAGCTGTAATATGTTACTACGAGAATTTTCTACAGGTGAGACAGATGCATTTCTTAAAGGGCCAGTATATAAACCTCATTCCCCTACTCCACTCTCACAAAAGAAAGAAGGGGAAAAAAAGAAGGAGTAGGGCAGGGAGGCAGAGGAGGAGGAAGAGAAGCCACTGCAGCAGCAAAGGTTGGCAGGGTGACTGGACCGATGTGTGAGGACAGGACAGTTTGCCTGAACAGTAGCAGCCTTTGCTGGAGAGTTGGGAGGAAAATGGTGAGGACAGAACAGGAGAGAACAATTGGGAGATTCCTGAGCTTGCAGAACACATTGTGGCCATCTCACAGGAAGAGCAGAGTGATGCACACCCTTGTGCGCACCGTGAGGTCTGGGTGGTGGACATCATCTGAAAGCTATGTTGTCAACAGTACCTGACTGCCTCTGGTGTCAGAAATGACCCTAATGTATTTCCTAATGAAATAGATGGCTTTATTCCTAGGGAAATAAGTGTGTTTGCCATTGGTTCAGCTCTGGGGAGGAAGGCCCTGACTTGAAAGGCCGGAGTGTCGCCCATATTCCAGGTGACGTACGACTGTCACCCGGAGATTTCAGACAAGCCATGGGAGACACTGCAGGTGATTCCACATGCCACCCTGGTCCAGACATAGTAACATTCATTCGCTCTAATTCTGAGGTCCCAAGCATCACTGGTGACCACCTGGGTCTTTCACTCTCATTTTGGATGAAAGGGATCAAGATCTCGTCCTCCCCCGTGTGTTAGCACGCTATAACACCTAGAGCAGCTGCAGCAGGACTGAAAATAGGATACTTGCTGCTCCGTCAGACTAGCTTGATGCTCATCAGTTTCAGCTTAGCCCTACCCCACTCCAAGCCTTTCCTGGTCGTGGCTGCTTCCGGGTGCATCTTCGTCAGTAACATTGGCCAAAATGCACATTCAGATCTGCCTCCTCCCCTTCTGCTGCGTCGCTGTCCCTCCCCCGCCTCCCCTAACCCTGCCATCACCCGCAGCTTGTACCTGTGGAGACAAGTTAACTCAAGCCCTTAGAGGGTATCCTGCCTCCTAAAGCAGAAAGGGGTGCCGCAAATAAAGAAAAAGCAGCTCCTCTCTCCAGTCCTTGGTCGTAGAATGGATGTTGCTAGTGGCCGATGCCCCTTTGGACTGTGATCTGGCCCTGTTGGTTGCCTGGTTACGGGAAAAGAGGAGCAGTGAGTTGGATCTCACAGCATCTTCCAGCCCAGAAACATGCTGTACAGCACCTGCTGTGCACCAGAGGCTGGGCCCCATTGTAGTTCTTTTCCCTGCTTTTTGTCAGAAGAGCTCATTTTCTCACCAGTTCTTTCCTCCAGAGGTTGCTGGCTCAGAAACAGGGAGCCATTTTCAATTGTTTTTGGTTTTTTTCCCCAACTTCTCAGTCTCAGTCATTAAAGGCAATGTTTCACTTATATGGGGCTCAACTCCTCTCCCTCGCCTGGTAGAGCAATGTTTAGTCACATTAAAATGAAACCAGTCCTGCAGTTAGCATCTAGTGACAAGTGTAATTCATTTATGTAAAACTGTACAGTCCAAATGTAAACATGCTCAATGCTTATTGAACATCCAGACACACAGCTTAGGATAAATTAGGAAAATATAACATCTGTTTCTGGAGCTGAAGCACAGTCACTGCTAAGGAATTTGTGCAGATTTCTAGTCTGGTTCAAGGTGACTCTCCCAGGACAGGGTGGTCTCCCACCTAAAAGCAGGGCCTCAGACAGTTAACAGGGCAGACGGCTCCAGTTTGCTGACAGTAGAATAAACCGAGCGGGTGTTTACTTCCTTTTTATCCCACTCCTGATTTTTTCATGTCATCTCACTGGCTTTCTTGGGTATGTCCTTGGTCTGTAGCTGCTTCAAGTTCATTTTGGAAAGAGGCAGCCTTCAAAA